TTATATCATTTTGTAGAGGACGATTAGAGCTATCATCTGAAAAAAAATAGTTCGAAATACATAAATCGCTTAGAATCTTACGGTCATTTTATTAATCTGGAGTGAAAATTTTTATGCTGCATCTTTTGAATAAACGACCAAAAGCTTTAATGTTTGAATCGCCAAATAATTGGCCAAAAACATGGTATCACAGCTCAATCGGAACTAATCGCCGAACTTATGAAATCTAACATAGAGTAGAATTAAATTTTTCCTTCTCTTTGCATGATCTTTTTTCTGCTCATTTTAAATCAATTCTTATGATTTCAAAGTTGGAGAGTGTTTGAAAACTAGAGCATATTAATCGAGCTGCATATTGACAAAAACCATTGGCAATCGTCATGAGAGCACAATCTGGATTGCGAAAATACGAACTTTAAGTTCCTTGACCCTTTGAGGACGGGATTACTTTTCAAAAAGATCACGTCTTCGAAACTTCGAAATAATATCTCTGCTAAAAAGAAGATGTATCAGAATACGATACATATGGTGGTGTAGCATCACATCAGTGGTGAAGAATCCATAGTCTGCACTAAATGCAGATCATCACTATACAATAAGAGACTTATTCAAGTGCGTTACAAGTTGATCGAGAGCCGTTGCCTATATATAGGCTTCCCGTCCTTATAGGGTTAATATATCATCACGGGCGCACGCTCTAATACTGCAAAGAGACACATCTTTTGTTTTTTTATATTGGAAACTATAATACTACCATGTAAATGGTGGGAAGTCCTATGGTACTCTTCTCCAAAAGTACCAAACAGGGTCTAGTATCTGTAACAAAAATTCGCTCAGTCAAACATAGTATCGCGAAAAATAAGAAGTAGAAAATTTTGGGTCATTTTTACCTATTGGAAACCGATTATCTGACAGAATGAGACATTGTGCAAACTTGAGTCTAGCGCAACTTTTACTCTATTATTTGAAATCAATCTATTCTGAAACATTCATCATTTTCTAATGAGCTATTCTTCAGAAATCTAGAAAAGCGAGAATAGCCATAAAAGAAGTTATTAATTGCATTTTCTGCCAAAAGGATCAATCAATTTTAAAGCTGTTGTTGTGTGTCCCAAGTTGGTTTTTCCATCAAGTTGTACAACTCACTTAAGCCTTTCAGGGTAGACAACTTGGGCAAAATTTCAGGCGTCACGATTCTTGAAAACCGACTCCCAAAATCAGGAGTTTCCCAAAAAGTTCCATTTGGTACAAAGTTCCCTGGACTAACGCTTCTCTCAAGAGAGCTGCGAATTTTACTGTAACGAGATCCTATTGTTATATCTTTGTAAAATAGAAACTTCAGCCCTTTGTCGTTTTCCAGTGCGAAGATATAAGCAGCCAAAGTAGACCAAAATAATGATTTTTTCCTCCGATAGTGAAGTGCGTAAAAAATCAACGACTCAATCATTTGAGGTGAAACCTTTTCTATGTATAGAACTTGTTGGTGTATACAATTACAAAATATTTCAGTTCAATCGGTTGACTTGTTCTTGAGATACACTGCACTCAAAAGCCCTTTCCGATGATAATGGGTTTTATAGTGCTTTTCGTAAAAATTATCAAACTCCTGCCTCTATCACATGTGTTAAAATGAGATAGATCGAATGACATGGATTGAGTGCGGTCGGTCGTGACTTACGTGAACTGGCTCATATGCTAAAGTTATGGAAGTATTATGAATTCAAATAAAACAAGTTCAGTCGTAGCTCATGCGAACTAACTCACCGAATAACATAATTGATGTTCTCATTATCTTTTTCAATATATTTCACAAATAGAGACCTGCGTGACCACGATTTTTAGTCACAATCACGACATGGTCACGAACCATTTAGTCACGGTCACGGTCACGAAGATTTTACGATGTTAGTCACGATCACGGTCACGAAGGTTTTATGAAAATAGTTATGGGCACGGATACGATCTCAGTCAAGATCATAACTTTAAGAAGGATATGAATTTCGAAAAACTTGCAATCGTTAGCATGAAATATAATTTTGATCAATAGCGGCATCTATTGATGAATACTAAAATTGAGGTTTTTTTCTAGAATGATATTAGTTCGCAAAAAGTCCAATAAACTCTGTCGACAGTCGATAACCCAACTGAATAAGAAAATTTTCTATGAATTCCTTTTGTTGAGTGTCTAAAAGAGTTTTCTTAATCTTAGATATCATGGTTTCTAAACTACTAACACGTGCTCAACTTGAACTTCTTCTGAAAAATAATGACAAATTGATCAAATTGAAAAAAGTTGAACAAACTGATCGTGGTTCATCGTTCTTGTCAATGATATAGTTCAACATTTTGTTTTATGTGATAAATGTCGGTCAATCATCACTTATAAAAAGACAACTGGCACTGGTGGTTTTGGAAAACATTTAGCATCTTGTGAACAAAAGCTTGTTAGCGCAGCCCCTTTGGGGCTGAAATGTGGAACTCACATATCTTCTTTACTTTCAGTCTGCTGATGGCAACATATATAACGGTTAAATACTCTCAGAGACGATAATTCTTTTCTAATGATAATTGATTGTTAGGAAATGTTGTCGTTTTTCATTTATATACTTCGAGTAGAATCTTTTTTTGTGAAGTTGCTATGGTCTGTAAGGGGGAACTGTCTGTAGTGAGGGGGAGGGGGTATGTATGTAATGTTCGTTTTGGTTGCTATGTGTCTGTAATGGGCAGGGGGAGCCGCAAAAACTTGATCTTAAAACTACACTTACTATTTTCTTCGAAAATATATGTGAGTTCCACAAAATACATCATCATCATCAAATACAACACAATCAAGTATTACAATGTATTACGAAAATAAGAAACCATCGGTCTTACCAAAAAAACTTAAAAAAGAAATAACTGATGCTTATATTGATTTCGTAGTATTAGATGGTCGTCCATTCGAAATTGCATTTGGTAGTGGTTTTAAACAATTTCTTCAAGTAATTTATAATGCAGGAAAATCATCATCGAATACTCAATCAATTGACATTTCTGATTATTTACCACATCCTACGACAGTAAGTATACTATTATGACTTTAAAGTTATACAATTTCATTATCATTCTAGGTAAGTCGTAAAATCGACAAAATTTATGAGTTTAGAAAAAAACAACTTATTACTTGATGCAAAGAACTTGATAGCTATACAATTGTTGTGAACATGTGGGCGGAAAAATATAGTGGTAAATTTTTTATTTAATAATTCTTATGAATTTTTAATCGAAATTTAGGCATACATTTCTGTGGTGTTACTGTTCGTGCAACCGATTCAGACTTTTATTTACATAGTTTTTGTCTTTGTTGTAAACCGTATTCTCTAGAAAATCCAACAGCTCCAAATATTCGAAAATTTGTTGATGAACTTTTATTGGAATATGGTCTTTCGTTAAATACAAATTCGTTCATTATCACAGATAATGAACCTAAGATGATTGCTGCTCTACGTGGTGCTAATCGTGTAGGTTGTAGTGATCATTACATAAATAAAATATTGGAACATTCTTTCACAATATCCAAAAGTGGTTGTGTTGAAGTAGTTCAAACATTTGATGTTATTAAAAGTCTTGTAGCAAATTTTCGTCGAAGTCATCGACAAGTAAATTTGTCGAGGAAGCTTCAGACTTATAGTTCAACTCGTTTTAGTGGAGCCTACTATATGATGATGAGTTGCCTCTAACGAAAAATAGCTCATTGTTCAGTATTACATTATGATGTATTCTAGAATGTCTTCAATTTAACTTACAATGAACTTATGGATATTTTTAGTGGTTCTCATTATAATGATTTTGAGTCTATTGATAAAGATTTGTTATCTCTCATTTGTGATTTTCTTCGAGTATTTGATGAAATTATTACAACTTTAAATGATGCAGCTTTGGCTACAAGGTGATTTTGATTCTGAAATAATTGATGATGATATATTATCATTTTGGAGAAGAAAAAAAAACGAATTTCCGACAATTGCTAGTATTGCTTAAAAAGTGTTAGCTATTCCTGCATCTAACACTTCAGTCGAGAGGTTATTTTCCTCAACCAAAATCATGATTGGTGATCGTAGAACACGGTTGGGTTCAGAAAAGATAAATAAACTTATGCTTCTACGAAAAAATTTAACTCCACTCAACCACATGTTTGATTTAAAAAATGGTTCAACAACAATTATGTCAAAAAGAAAACCTAATGGTACATTTGAAGAAGGGTATACGCACACTTGCCCGGGGAACACTTGCCCACGGGACAGTTGCCTGCATGACACTTACCCGCAAAATAAATTCGCACTACTATTCTTCGAAACAAAGGGGACTGATTTCATTGCTTTCAAAATCTTATTCATTTTATCAACTCAGTTATATATACATCTTATAAGTAGTAGAATGCAGAAATGGAAACCTACAACAATATGGGTCATTAACAAACGAACTATCAAGTTCAAGAAAAATAAGTTTGGTCGACTTGACCAGGATGTTAATGCTTAGTGCTACTATTTTTTCAAATTTGTTGTCGATTATTCATTCAAAATATTCAAAACTATTATTTGCTGGTGTTGTTTCACCAAATATTTCCGACGTCTAATCCCGGCTCAGGTTTGGATTAATTCGACTTCGATCATCGATTGGTCTTTTTTCAGCGGAATTCCAAATTTTCGGTTGTGCAAAACCTAACTAGAACCAAGCTATGTAAAACGAGCGAGGAAAACGATATCGAATAGAAAGAAAATGGTTTGTCGAAAGAAATGGAAGAAAGGAATACGAACAGACACAAACACAAGCATGAGGATTAAGTATTGATAGATCCTTGAGAAGTTATACGATTGTTGGAGGATAGTTTGATATCACTAGTTCACATAACTCTGTTGATAAGATGCAGTAATTTTTCAATAATGTAATAACTTTATAGTTCCTAAATCGTTACCAAGCAAGTATCCTGGTGCATTGCAGATAAGTGTCCCCACACGGGCAATTGTCCGACGGGCAAGTGTCCGCTGCGGGCATGTGTTCTCCGTGAGCAAGTGCCCCACGGGGAAGTGTCCAGCGGGCATCTGTCTGCAGGCAAATGTTCTGCGGGCAAGTGTCCTAGATTCTTGAAGAAGATACTGATGATAGTTGTGGCATTTTGAAGAAAATTAAAACTACTGAAGAAGATGAATACGACTTATTAAGTGATGATTATGAAAGTGAAAAAGAAAATTTAGAAGCAGAAATAAAGGGTGTTTCATAATAACTGACGATAGATTGTTAATGATATTTTTCATACCTTTTCTTGACATAGAGTGCTGAAATTTTTATGACATACATATCTAATCAAGAGGTATCCTCTCATTTGCGAACATACAGTCGAAAATTCAAAGTTTATTTAATTAAATTATATTTCTTTTTTCGATTAATTTGAATTTTTCACATTAAAAGCGACTGAAAGTGTCAAATTTTCGATTTTTAATTCGTTAAAACTCATTTCTTCGAAAAAAAACTCCAAAAATTAAAATCGTTACTTTTATTATTTAATATTTTTTACTGAAACGAATTTTAACAGCCATTTTGTTTGAAGATTTGAAATTTGTAGAATTCGCTCTTGTTTTCTATGTTATTTCTATACTTTTTTTGGGAAGATGTAGAGCTCGCTAGTGCTTTTAATACAATTTCTATCTATAGATTTAGGAAGATGTAGAGTTCGTTTGATATATGCCTGCAGGGTTTCGATATATTCAGCTCTTATTAGTAGAATGTACTAAACTACGTAGTGCTCTTCTTCTTTTTCTAAATTGAGTCTCATATTTAGAGTTCATTGGATCGAATTACCGATATGAACGTCATAAGCCTATTTTTGTATGGGAACTGTATGTAGTTTCCATATTAGCATAAGATAAACAGTTCACTGAAAAGAAACTAATTGGAACCCAAATATATAATTATTCAACAACAAAACTGTGGAAACAATGTAAATAGGACAAGATTTAGGTGTTGGTATTAGAGTTCTCTTCAAACAAACGTCCATCGAGGTCACACTTTGAATGGATATTGAATCATCCTTGTGGAACATGAGAGAACAATTCAAAGCTCCCTTCGATCTTCATCCAAACTTTCTTTTTTTTTCGCCCCTTGCTCGAGCTATATTAGGGTTCGTTTTTCAATATGAGAATTAAGCATATCACCTTCCGAAAGGTGTTCTTGACTAAGATTAAGATTCATAGTACTTAAACTAAATCTATGATCTAGCTACGTTCCAAAAAAGGTTTTATAAAAACTCTCTCGCGATCAACCTATTTCAGTGATCTCGTTTAAAATGCGAAAAGATTTCATTGACGTTTTTTAAAACAATTTCTTCGATAGTATACCTCACTTATAAAATCTTTTTTTTGTGAAGCAGCAAAATTCATAATTACTTCAGAGCTGATAAAACATTTTGAATCAAATACTTTGAAATGTGAAACAAATTTTCTTTCGCTGCCATGTTCTTACACTCATCTTCCAAAATGAGAACTGACACTCTCAGACCGCATTTGCTCACCTTCAAACAGACTACACGCGGCACTTCTAAATCTTTTTTACATTCAGTTAGATTTATTCTGGATTTTCTAGCGAACTCTACATCTTCCTAAATCTATAGATAGAAATTGTATTGAAAACAGTGGCGAACTCTACATCTTCCTAAA